GGCGATGCGGATCAGCTGGCGGATGCCAGCCACAAGATTGCGAATGATCTCAAGCAGGCTGGCGCGAACGACGTTCAGATCAAGGTGCTGCAGGACATGCCCCACGGATTCTGGATCCTCGACGTTTTTCCGCAATGCGGCCAGACGTGGAAAGAGGTGGGCGCGTACGTGGCAGCTTGACTCCGCCCTGTGTCGGTGTGAGTGCGCGCGCAGCCGCAGATAGCAGGTTTGGCGCACGCAGTCTTTTGCCTCGCTCGGGAGAGTGGATGCGATGGCAATCATCGCATAGGCTCATGAAATCAGGCGCGCAAAGTGATCAAGGTGACCACTGTGGGAATGTTTCTCCCTCCATCGCACAAGTCTTTCTCTTGTTCATTCTGACTCGATCCAGATAGAAATGGAATGGAACGATCTCGTGCCACCCTCACAGTCTTGCCATTGCGTCTCACCTCGCGCGTAGATTGCGACGAAGGAATTGTCACCCCTCATCGACTGCAACGCAAGCGCTCCTAAGCTAACGTCTGCGCCACCTGCACGTCGCTCGGCAGCCCGCTACAGCTCTTGGGAGGATGGTCGCCAGCTCTTGCTTTCCAACCTCATCTTTTTCTATCAGCAGTAGCCGTCTGCTGCGCACATCTTTGCAGCTTGCAGCACGGCGCCAGCCAAATCGCCTCCCCGCCGCCAGCACTGCTCTTTGCTCGCTCAGCTGGGCGGTATACGCTGGTCGTTGACCGGAGGCCATCGTCGTTGGGCACACCACTGGTAGATTGTCGACCTTTAACGCTGCTCTCAAGCAGACTAGTCGTCGAGCCGTGTAGTGAGTGCATGGGATTGCGATGGATAGGGAGGGGTCAAATGAAAAGGCGTGTCGCCGTCGTGCTCATCGGAGCTGGCCCATCTTGTGTCGCAGAGACTTTGCGCTTTGCCAGCATGCCAGCATACCGTTGTCCTCGTCGCTGTACCGAGCACACCGCGCCGTACACGGCTGGTCCTGCTTCTGGTGTCGCAAGCACCGTCACGGCTACAAGGGTCCACCTGCGACCTCGACGCTCAGCGGCAGCTGCTGCCATTGCTGCCACCATCTCCCGCGAGACCGCATCAAGACGCAGGTAGCGTCTCTCACACCGTCACTGCTCGCTCTCCCATCGCCGCCCTCGCTCGCTCTCGCTCTCGCGCCGCCGCCACTACCGCCCTTTTTCGAAGCTCTGCTGCCATCGACGTTTGCTTCAAGATGCTCTGTCGGCTGGCTCTCACACTTGGCAGAGCTGTTGGGCGCACGTACAGAGTGTTGGAGTACGGGGCCAAGGTCACGACTACGTCTCGTGACAGGCTTTGGATAGCCTCTCTGGAATGCAGTTTGCAAAAGTCGTGCGATGATGACGGGATGTCACGAGATC